ATCTACCGCAACTGGTCGAGTGCTTTGGGAAAGAGTCGAGAGAGGAGACCACTGCTGCTGCCTGACTGCCTAGTCGCTCTACAACTCGCTTCTAGCTGCGGCGGCGGCGACGACGACGGCGGTTGCGGCCGCGGCGGCGGCTGCTGCCGCCGTCAGAACGTAACCTCTGCTGGGGCCATTTGTTGACCGTTTCTTCTAAACTCGCCTTCTCCCTTTCTCCCTGTCACGCCGTTCAGTCGCTGCCTGAGGCCGTCCTCCGGCCGCCTGAAGAGGTGCTGAAGTTCGTCGGCGGGCAGCTGAATTTTCCCTCCAGGGGTTCCGCTCACGGACCGGCGGAGATTGAGGAAGTCGGCAGGCCTCGAGCGTCGACGCCAGATCCTCACTCGGCGCCCAAGACCTCGCTCCGGGGAACTACGCGAGGGGCGAAGTTCCACATGAGGTCGCGGTAGATCCGACCACCCGGGTGGAGCCTCCCATCCGGCAAGTTAGTCCGTGCGTACGCTCTCGATGATCGCCGAGTAAGTTCCTCCGGTGGGTCTGACTCGGTCCGTGCTCCACTGAGTTGTGTTCAAGTGCGAGTGGACCGGTCGTCAAATGTTTCCGCTGCCGCCGCCGCCGACGACGTCGATCGCCGAGCTCGGCTACTCCAGCAACAACTGTTGGCACTTCGACGGCGCATGCCCAGTCCGCTCGCAGAACCTCATCACAGGGACCCCTGGCGGGAAATGGCGAAAGCTAAATGCGACTTCCTTACTCCGTCCTCGAAAGTCGTCGCTGTTGTCGTCGTCGTCGTCGTCGGAATCTAGGATCAAAATTACGCCACGAGCGTTCTCGGCCGGCACAAGTCGCTGGTCCCGTTGCACTCGAACCCAAGGAACTGGCAGATTCGTCTCATCCGGGGAGCTTGGCACTCGATTCGTACAGGGGAATCAAGTTGTGAAGCGATAGGTCGAAATTGTCCTTCTCGTCGACCGCTGAGTCGGAATCTTGATCCGAAAAGCCGCGCCGCAGAAGGAAACGCATGCAGAGCGTGACAAGAGGGCCCGCACGACCCCACTGCTACTTTTTCTCGACGACAATGACCGCGTTGCCTCAATGATGATGACTGAGATGACGCTGACACCGTGTGCGATCGTTGGAATCTCTGCTCGGAGGGAACCAGTGTTCGACGATTTAATGAGCGGAACCCGAGCGGAGATCCCCGACTGTTTTTCTTTCGGTGCAGATAAGCTTGCGGGTCAGACTCCCGGTTCGTTCGAGAAGGTCTGGATAGAGGATATTGAGAGCCGAGTGGCATCGCTCGTAATACTGGGCTCCGGAAGAGCGATAACCTTTCAAGTGCCCCCTGGAGACCCCAAATCCGGGATAAAAGAAGAGAGCTCTCTCGGTCAGGACGGTGGATATAAGTCGAGAAATTCAGAGGGAATCGCTCCAAAGAATCGCTCAAATAGCGTGAGATATTTTTCCCTTGAACATGCGAGGCATCCTTGGGCCCCGACGCGGCCTTGAGGCCGTGAACGGCCCTCAGTCAATGACTCGGGCCATGGTTCACGCACGGGACTCGAATGATTCGTTCTTATCCCTCGAGAGGACTATCTTCAGATTCTCGGGGCTGCGATGAGTTCGGCTGGACGAGAAGCATCTGCGGACGCCTGCGCCGTCAAACGTCCGGAGTTCTCAAATCTCTATCTGAATGAGTATCACGATTCTCTTCAAACAGACGGAGCTTCAGCGAGCGATCGGACGTTCACGAGCTTCAGATGTTTGTTGGCGAACACTCGTGTGATATCAAGACAGCGAGTTCTTTCATCCGGAACCGTATTGAAGGCACATGCCGTCCATACTGCAGAAAAGCACACATGTTCACAGACAACGGTTTCGAACAGCCCTCGAGAGAACTGATGCGGCTTCGGGAAATTCACGCATGTTGGCGGCATCATTCGGTGGAAGCGTTCTCTCTAACGTTATAACGTTCAGCTCTCCGAATCCTTCGGCTGAGTTATCCGGAGCTGGGACTGGATGCTGTCGTACATTAGGTCGCGGCTTCAGAGAGGGGAGGCGGGGCTTCGGTCGCACTTCACCGCTTCGTTCGTGTCGACCGGGTGTCGGCATCGAGTAGATTGCCGCATAATCACCTATGCTAGATTTCTGAAGATGTGACGTATCGAAAGCGAGAGAGGGAGAAAGCGTCTCCGGTACTCCCGTTCATCCGATTTTTTTTGTGAAGACTCCGAGATGGGCCGGCTGGAGAATGTCCCAGAGGGAGAGGCAGTCGATTGACACACGCATATTCCTTCCGGAAGTCTATAGGTAAGATCGGATACTCATTCCTGTAAAGCACGCCGGAACGAATTACCTATTCTACGCGGAGTTGATCCTTCGCCCCGATGGGATGCTCCGGGGAACTGTATCCGCTTCGTCCGGAGAAATCTTCAGGATTCGGAGGAGGGACCACCACGACGGAATGATGATCGACCTAGTGCTTGTGATAAGAGCCTCCGTGTCGAGTCTCGACAATGCCGGCTGGTCCGGAGAAAAAATCAAGCCGAAAATCCCCCCATGATCAGGCTACAGTTTCCACAGGTATGGGGGTATACGGCTGCCCCGAGCTTGGGGAATACGTGAGAATAAGTCGGGGATCCGCAGGATGGTTTCGCAATCGATAGCGGTACATCAGACAGAACACGATTGGTTCCCCGGATAATCTTGTGGCGCCAATGTTCGGAGAATTTCCTCACCGACTCGCTCACGAGTCGGAGATTCCTCCTGCTAAGATCAGCCAGACGGAAGCTTCCAGATTAGGCGCCTTCCATTCCATCGACGGGATTTCGGGGGATTCTTCCGATGCCACCGAGGCGGCAAGCGGTGATCAGCTCAATCCGTTCCCCCTCGATTCCATAGAACCTCCTTCACGTTCATCTGGATTGTCGTAGATGCGTCCTTCTCTTGTCAGTATCGTAGCGTGATCCTGTCACACGCTCCGAAAGCCTGGAAGAGCTCGCATAATCCAGCTGGTCGCAATCCTGGCTCGTCTTCAGGAAGAGGATGGGAGACACTAAGTGGGGAAGAAATTCGGCACTTCATGCGGGGATCGAGTCGGAGAATCCCCGCGAAAACCCACTCGTCATGATGAATTGTTCAATCGGGTCCACATACCACTGGGACGCCGCGTGACAACTCTTCTAAACCCAGCTGCCGATCCGTCCGTCCGACGAAGCCGAGCACCATGCCGACGGCTCGGTGTGGGCAAAGCGATGCAAACTGATGATTCCTGTGCCGACGAGCACAATGAGACGCCACTTGAGCTCTCATGTCTCGCAAGCGTATCCTGAGTCGCGTTGCCCCCTTCCCCCCGCCTGATCGATCTCCCAGAAGGCGATCGAGGGCGAATTTCATCGAGGACCAAGGCTCCTTTGGAGCTTCGGCTCCCGAAGATAATCTATTGTATCTTCTATTTCATTAGAAGAACCTGCAAGGTCCCTCTCGCGGAGCCGAGCTCAAAACGTATCGTCCCCGAAGATCTCGGGATCTTCGCCCACACGCGAATTTCGACGCTGAAAGCGACCGTCGCTCCATCAGACGATCCGTCTCGAGGAAGACAGGAGTCAGATGGCTCAATGCCGAGCGATGTCCTCCCGATTAAGGCAGATCTCTCGGTAGATGAGCTCTCGAAGTAAGCTCCTGGAAAGTACTCCTATCTGTATATCCCTAAGGATCTACGGAGGAGCAGCTACCCGAGGACTCTCCTAGCGGGAAGCTCGCTGCCGACCTGACTCATCCAGAACTTTAAGGTGTAAAAGTCGCTACTCTCATCATCCAAACTGACGCTCACTGAGGAAGGAGCGGAGTTCTGGTCGCAGTGGGACCAGAGTTCCAAACTCCGAGCCCTTTTGTTCCATGCTTTTGCCCTCGATCGGGTCCAGATCACTTCAGGAAAACCTCTCCCGAGGAATTAAAGTGAGTGACGAAAGTTTTGACAGATGCTCGCCTGAGGCGATCGAATATATCGTTCTTTATCCGTCGATGGAGACTTCGGGAGGTCTGATTTCGAAGTTCTTCATCGACGAATTAGTTCTCGATACGTACGTGCATATCGATTCACTCATTTGGGGACAATCTCTGCATACTCAAGCGTGATGTCTCCCACGCTATCCAGAAAGAGAGCCCAGTGGGTTTTGATGAAGCGCTCCACGGAAACTCCAACCGATAGCTGAGGAGTCGAAGCGGCCCCGCACATCGGATGCAGATACCCAGACACCTCATGAGACTTCCGTCGCTCGCTCGGACTAGGGCACAGGGTCGGGAATCGATCTCATTCAGAGTCGAGTTAATCGCATTTCATGGATCATTGGAATCATGAAATCCCTATTCGCCTCGAATCGGTACCGCAGACGTCTCTCCTAGGTATGGTGAAACAATCCTGATTGCGCCGGCACTCGGACTGCTCGCGGGTCCCCTTAGCATGTTCGGGTAAGACGTCCTTTGTCCACATGCTGCTCAATGAGGATCTGCATGCCGATGCATCTCGTGAGGGCGCTTCTCCCGAGCAGTCTCGATCGGGGAATCGTTTCCGGATTCTGCTTAGGGGAAGCCTACGGGGAACTAGCTGCTCTAAGAAAGGATCACCCGAAATGCACCGGGATCATCGCGCTCCTGTTTGTATCTTTGGGAAGCTTCTACAGGGAATAGAATATTGATCAATATTCTGCTCATGATATTGGCTCTCAGGCTCGCCCCGTATTCATCAACTGAGTATATGATATCACTGCGGCGGAAATCAAGAGCTATATCACCCCGCAATCGATTTCTACTTCTCCGGAAATCTGCGATCTCGGGAATATCCCTGCTAACGAGAAATTTCTTCCCTGCAGAGGCCGAGCATCCCCATCCATGGGTCGATAATACGAAGGTTTGGCATATGTACTTTTGATAGCCTGTCAATATAAATATCCTTTCGAGGTGGGGCCGACTTTGCTGAAGAACTGCGCCAATTCGTCGTCTTTAATTATTATTATCCGTCTCGCTTTATTATTGTAGTCGTCTGTTACTCGTGCTCCTTAATTACATGTTTCAAAGTCGCCTCTGCTGCAAACGTTTCACTCATGTCGAGACTTCTTCGTAACAGCAGTCGTTATGGTTAAAAACATTCATGCCTGTAGTAGAGGATTAGGACTGGTGTTCGAATGCCGTCGGAAAAATAGGCACCGATCCCGGCAGCCCCCTATGGCACTGTCCACTCTGGTCGAGAAAAATGAGATCATCGCTGTTTTCGTTCGTTCGCTAGCTCGAATGCTCGCTTCTACCTATAATACGAAATAGTTTGGCACACTCCTTGTGGAGTTCGCTTATCTGCCAACATCGAGCAGCCAGAGCACAAGGGATCTGAGCTGCTTATTGAGATCATGTTGCCGGAGGAAAACCATCTTTGGATATCGACTCTGCTTTACATGCGGTACTTTTTTCCCTGCGGTTATTTTCCTTCCTCGTACTCGTCCGAGACAAGCTATTGCCCCCCAAAAGTTCGCTTCGCCTAAACGTACACCCTGCTTCAGAACTCGGGGTCCTAGCTCCTTGTCTCTCGTAAGAGACAACGGTGTAGAGGTTCCTTCCTTCTACCTCTTGTCGCCCTACGAAGGACACCTTTGATATTTGTACTTTCCACTGTGTGTAAAACGGCTCCGATTTACTCGGAACTCCAAGCCCCATCTCTCCGCGATTGTTGTGCTAGCCGTGGCCTGTTCTATCGCACAATTATCGGAGCATTGACCAAAATAGGTCGCAGCCCGAGCGGCTCCGGGTGATGGTTGATGAACAATAGAAAAATAGTTTGAGCAATCGGTTCTCATTGCTACCACGACTTTGATTCGGTACGACGACACAATCGATGAGGTAGAGAACTATGTTGCTGGAAATGTTTGACAGCAGAAGACTCCGGTAGAAAATATAGACTTTGCAAAGATAACTTTGAGCAAGGACGGTGTGTATCTGACAAAGGGTGCTTTTGATGCTCTCCATCGGTTTACCTCTAATCATTCGCAGTGGATACCCATGCGAACGCGCTCGTTTCTTCTCCTTCATTCGCCCGACTGCGGGACTCCTGATGCGGATTTTCGGTGTTGTCGATTCCGGCTTGAGCGGAATTTCTCGCTCCAAACCGCGAGAGGGGCTCGACGGCTGAAAGATCGTGGCACAGCTCGTCGAAGACCCTATCCCAGAAGTCACTTATGAAGATTCGTTCGCCGATGACAGACTCAGAGGAGGTGATTCCACGGGGACTCTGCGCAGGAGAAAAAAATTAAGAATTTCGAAACTCAGAGAAACAAGCTTTTTAGCCGGGGTCCACTTGTATCAGAATTATGGTGGAATTCGGGCGAATTGTGATACTTCAGGAATATTCCTCAAGGCGTTGAATTACGGGACGTCTCCGGAAACTCACCTGTCGTGCCCGTTCTCGGGTTCCGGTTCGGCCTCCCCTTCATTGTCGGAAATGATGTTGCCGATCATGTTGAAGGTGTTGAGTTGTGTCTGAAGTCCCTCGAGTCTCCCCATGGTTCTGAGTTTCTCCATGAAACGAACCACTTCCCGCTCCGCGACTGGCAGAGATGCGATCGCCTCTGAAGACGGTCCGGGATGCTCGGGCGAGGACGCGGAGGACGGAGAATTCGTTCGCTCTGCAGGGCGTTCGTTTGAGCCCTGGGACAAAGGAATTACGGTCAATCCCCGGGAGCGGCATCCTTCACTCATCCCAGATACGGAATCTTCAGATTTCCTACAGATCGTGCGCGAAAAATGACGGACAAGTCGACTTACGTAAACCGTGAGAATGTGGCGGGCGGACTTCAAGTGATCTCGGAGTTTGTCTTTGCGGGTGAACGATTTACTACAGGCCACGCAGTCGTATGTCTCTCTGTCCGCGAAATGCCGCTTCATGTGCCGTTTCATCGTCGACCGGTCAAAGAAGGTTTTGAAGCAACAGGGGCAGGCAGAAGCTTTCATTGGACCTCCTGACGATCCTCCAGACTGGGGGGAGTCCGGCTGAGGAACTTGGTAATACGCACGTGCAGATGAAGCCGCGGCCGGAACAAGTGCTGAAACTCCGGGCTTGGCAATCAAGAGAGATCCAGTCACGACTGTCGGTGAGGGAGTTCCGTTGACAGCACGAGCCAGTACTGATATGGAATGAAAAAAAAAAAGTTAGGCCATCGTCCAAATGAACAGCCGAACAGTCACGATCTCGACAGGGAGAGGAAATGGACAGAATAAGCGACAGAGAGAAGAAGAAGAAGTTCGACGGCAGCGTCCGGACAGAAGCTCGCGAGATAATTTATTCTTATCGAAGCGTCGATTATTATCCCGCCGAAGGAGAAAACTCCTCCTCGCGGACATGAGGTTCCCCATATCTGGGATCAATTGCCTTTCCTTCAGCCGGCGTTCTCTCGTTCCCTGGAAGAAGAAGCGATATCAGTTCTCCGACTTTCCCTTGTCGAATCTCGCCTACGGATTAATCTGTGAGGGGCTCTCCAATCGTAGTGCAGTTCCGTAAGGGCTCAACTCTGGATCCCTCGGCTGCCGATTCGCGGACGTGAATGATATCCATCAACACTTTCCGTGTGATAGCGAGAAATTGTTCACCTGGAAACGAAATGAGGGCAAACTTAGTACGGCTCCTCCTCCTCTCTCTCGCGTCCAGAGCTCACGACTCGGGCCTGATACAGCGGAGCTCCATGATCCGGTACTATCTGACCACCGGCTGTTGCCAAAGATCGCATTTCCGAAGCGTGAAGAATTGATCAACCACGTCCTAATCATGAGCAAGTAGAGCGTGACCCGGTCGGTCGATGAATCCTTCTTTCCTCAATCGAAGATTCGGATCCACGTCACTCATCGACATAGCGCAAATCGAATCGCGCGAAGGCGGAGAGCTCCAAGGGAGGACCGACCAACATGCTCTTCTCGATCGCATACCGCCAAGTCTACTAGTAGCTCAATCTTATTTGTCAAACACGGTCGCGTCGAACATACGATCTCCGATGATCCTTTCTCTGACCTTCACCGAAGACAATTAGGACTTGTGTCAGACAGTGAATCACACCGGGAATCCCCGATGCGGCAACGGAAAGAAACGCGTCGCCCTGTGTAGAGCCACGCGGTCAGTCAGACAGAATGGCTGCTAGGCAAGCGGGCAGGCAGGCAGGCAGAGCCAGACAGAGTCCAGACAAAAGAGGCCCCTAACAGCAACACACCACCAGCGGCACCTCCTATATAGCGGCTGAAGGAGAGACGGCCAATAGATATATGGACATACCGACCGACCGACGCAGACACGCTAACCAACCGGCGGACAGACGGACAGACAGAGCGACCGACTCACCGACCAACTAGTCAACCAGCCAGGCAAAAGCTACAAGGCCCCAATCTTTGGTTACGAGCTTGCGTTCTGCCTCTTAAAAACAAATGACTGACTGAGTGCCTGCCTTCCCTACTGAGAAAAGTCGCCTACGAGTCCCACCCGAAGCCGAAATGTCTCCTTTTGTGTCTCTGGTCGCTTTCCGCTCTGCCCTTGACTTTGCTTACCAAAGCCCCTGACCTTCAGAGCCGATCCGCGCGGAACTCTCTCCGAATTGTGGGATTCCGAGCCGCGGGCGAGAGATATCTCGATCTCGAGGAAAAATGTCCAGGATAAACGGGCACCGAGGGAGGGAGTTCCGTGACCAGTTTTGCAGGACTACGGCTTCTCCTTTCTGATTTGTAGATGGAGCAATTGGCCTCGATTCGAAACTTGACCAGTAGCTACAGTCCGAAGCTCCGGCCGCTCGTTTCGGATCGTTATCAGACAATGTGTGCGAACGCACACGCTCGCACGCACTGTCAGACTCGTTTGCAAAGCAAGCTGCTTGAGGACGAAGTGCGAATGATTGCAAGACCCTCCCACCCCTTCGCCGATTCATTGCTGTTGGTCGGACGCCGACTCTGTACCCTACATATGGCCATTTAGGGACGCGGGCTCCCCGCTCGCTCCCAGCTCGGTGGTCCCTGCTCGGTGGGTCGGTCGGTCGGTCCGTCGGTCGGTCCGTCGAGGAGTCCGAGCGAGTCTAGTCGGTCTGGCCGGATCGGTGGGGCTCAGCAAACTCCGGCCCAGACTAGCCCAGCGCAGTCTGGCCGGGTGGCTGGCTGGGCGGCTGGCTGGCTGGCTCAGCCTAGCCCACCCTGGCTCAACACTCTGTCTTTCCTCTCTTCTTTTTGCCTGCTTGCTAGGCTGGCCGATTCGACGACGATGCTTTCGCCGCCGCCGCCGCCGACTCTGCTGCAACTGCTGCTGCTGCTGCCGCCGCCGCCTATATCCCCAGACAGCGTGTCTGCTTGCTCCCCAACTCCCCCAAGGATAAGGGTACGCGGACCCCTTGGGTTAAATGGCGCGGGGACCCGGCTCTCTCTCTTCGTAGAATCCTAGCATCGCTCCTTCGCTTCCCGACTGAACGGATGTTTGATGGTTTTCTGTTTTCAGAGCTGAATGCCCTCGACACACGGTTGCTCCGGGATGCCCGCCCGCCCGCCAGCCTCTCGAGCATTCGAAGGACCGACCGCCCGCCCGCCGCCCGCTCGCACCCGCCCGGTGCTCCGGAAGAGCTACCGTGGCGCGTACCTCACAAAGTCGCGGAAGAATTCTGCTTCTGCTCTTGAGAGAAGCTTTTACTCGACCGTGGAGCCGGGTACCCAAGAAACGGACTTGGTTAATAAAACCCAACCAGTCACAGCAGGAGGAAATCGTTGCCAATCCGAAGACTTTTCGATAAGCGGAGGAAAAAAATATGTCAAGTACCGGTGGTGGGCTCAAAGATTCCAAAGTCCCAAGATCTGAATTCCAGCATCGAGAAAGATGCGAGGCAAAAAGTCCCGATCTCGACCGAGATGCCGACCGCCCCTGTCAACCACCGACTAACACCTTGCACTTCGCGCGAATCATGTTTCTCATCTAGTCACATGAATGTGACATCGATTTCTTGAAACACTTGCATTCAAAATCGCCTTCCTGAAACTCACTTGGAATCGCAGCTGTGCTCCGAGCAGTGACGCCTTGTGGGTTGAGGGCTAGGCGCTTGTTCAGCCCCAAGGCCCGCTAGCTCCTCCAGCGATGATGACTCACGTGTGTGTATGAGGAGCGCATACTAAGAGTTGCATTGCACACGGGTACATTTGTTCACCGATGGAGTTTCGGAGAGCGACGAATTGAACTGACTAGACTCACAACCGAAGATACGAGCGCTTTTGGCAGTTGTCACGCGTCACAAACGCCGGGCGGACGGTCACGGAGTACTTCTTCACACACACCGCCTCATAACGGAGCTGAACTCACTCGGGGCTTGTCGCACATTTCCATCGTCGGCCGCGTGTTCGTGGACGAAGACGACGACGCTTGTTGCCACTAAACGTTTGTGAGCTCGATGAATTTAAGTGACGCTGCTCTCGGCGTCGCCGATGGGCCCCCGTTGGTAGTTGACGAGAGCGGAGGAGTTTGCTGGCTGCATGTCTAACTGGCAGCCAGCCTGTTAGGCATCCAGGCAGGCTACTACTGCTTGTGATCGTCGGATGGATGATGTCGGAGCTGGCTGGCTGGCTGGCTGTCGGACTGGCTGACTATGGTGGCTGTGAGCGAGCCCAGCGACCCCTAAGGCCGGGCTAGACATCCTCGAGAAGAGAGTAGAGCGACATTGAACAAATTCAGCTTCTGGCTTCTCGAGCTCTCGCTTCGACGAAAGTGATTTCAAGTCGATACGGTCGAGCTTATTAAACCTCCTGAACGGCCGGCGGCACCATCGACTCCTCTCCCAATTTTCTCGGGCTCTCGCGAAGAGGATGCACCCCCGGCATCGCGGGTCGGAGTTTTCGCAGCATTCCTCGATACTTCGCGATGGGGTTATTCTTCGGTCGCGTCGGCTTGGATACTGGTCGGGTAGAGGGAAAACCGAGTTTCCGAACGAGAACCTCCCATCAGGTAATACTCTGTGGGCATCGGGCCGCTGTCTATGTTTGGTTTCAAGGGTGACATGAAGTACTGAGGCGCGAGGGGTACATGCTCGCTGCACACTAACAAAGCCTCAACGGGGGTTGTGCTTGGTCGGGGTCCCTCTCTGCCTAGGCAGCCAGGCAGGCAGCCAGGCCGACAGAGCCCGCAGCGCCCGACTGCCATGCTATGCGAAGCTGACCGAGCAGGCGAGTCGCCACGGTATGTGTGTGCTGGAATTAGGACTCCAGACTTACACCTCTCTCAGCATTTTTCCTTTCGCGGGAGGGACGAGGTGCGAGTCCCCTGCTCCGACTCATTGATGCTTCGATAACATCCAATCTGTAGCTGCCGGTGTTGTCCTTCTGCATGAGAATTCTCCGATCGTTCCAATACTGAGAATTGCACGGTTTCATCTCCCTTCGGCTTCATATACCGTCCGGAGAATACTCGGAAACTCATGTTGTCGCTCTGAAGTTCCAGATGACATTCCTTGCGTTGACACATGCGTCTCAGAATTTTGCACGTATAGCAACCGATGTAACACCTTGAGCCAATTGATGCTGTCTTCGATTCCGACGGTCAGAGGGCGATCGAAAGGAGTCTGCGCATTCGTACTCTTGATTGCGATCTCATGTCCGGCCGAGGGGGCTCCAGATCGGGGATGAGGTACGGGGACGGGGGGCTTGAGCGCGGGCTCTATGGAGCGGCGAAGACTGAGACCCACGATTCCTTTGCGGTGAATTCATCGCCGTCCAGAATCCTGCTAGATAATAGATATGTGAGAAAAACGCTCAGCCCTTGATCATGGTCTCGGGAATCTCTCCTCCATGGAACCTCGAAAATCGTTTAGACACCCACGACCCACGATATTTTGAGATTTGACCAGTCGCGTTTTCTATTTGACAATAATGAAGATTTTTCGCGTCGCCAATTCAGTGAGAGCATAATAGCAAGGGTGGTGTGTTCTCATCCAGGACGCGGCGGAGAACCCGTGGGCAAAGTTCAGATATCACACGATGGCAAATGAGAGTGCAACGGTCGTATGAGATGAAAGCTCCGGCGAGCCTCTACGAAGAACCCTCCGGAAAATCGAGACTTGCCGAGGACGAAACTCAGGCAGCATGAGCTCAGAGACGCCCGCTATGTCCACAGACGTTGGGAACA